AAATTATTCTTACGAAACGTTTTAACTGGAGGTTTAAGTATAATATTACTGAGGAACTCTGGACAATCAATCTTATTCTGTGCATTGTTCAGCAGCAAACATGCATCAGCTATATTTCTCCGCAGATATAAAGGCAACAGGTAAAATTTTTCACAACGGTGCATGTACTCCAAATGGGGCAGTTTAAATTTGTAATTTACTATATTTGATTTATTTACTATACTCTAAAGTAAGTATCGTAGTAGAGATTCCGAATTTGCGATGCATACTTAGGATGGCTACGAATATACCTAAGTGCAATGAAGAATTTTCAGGGTTTTATATTTTTAAACCTTTCTGATGCATGAACGATATAGATATAGTCATATAGCATTGGATGAAGTAGGACGTGATAATTACACCTTCTTGGCCATGGGGAACTTTAACAAAGTTTCAAAAGCGAATAACGAAAATATCGAGTGGGTCATTGATTCCGGATGCACCGAACATTTTGATCATTGAAAACTTGAATAACATATGATCTATATTATAACTTTTGAAAATCGTATCAAGATTTACATCGCCTACGGAGACGATATGGACTTCCGCCAAAAGAGTGCTCAGGTTACCTGGGCAGGCTGGGTGTGCAGCGCAATCGGCCGTTCGGCAGAACGCACTGGTAGACCACTTTATCACTGGTTTAGCATGTACCAGTTCACACCCACTACAACGCAAAAAACAAGTGTATACAATAGACGAAAACGTAGCGAGGCGAGAGCTTGCAAAGGTGGACTAGAGCCCAGCACTTAAAAAATGTGACCCAAATGATATACATAACTTAATTGTACACGAATTTGATAATATATACAATAAATTGCAAACCACAAAAACAATAACTATAGATAGTAAATGTAAGAACAGTTGGATTACAGAGAATTTGACTTAAATGTAAAAAATGTGTTAAATACGTGTGACGAAAAATTGCTTAATGAAAAAAATTACATAAATAACCCCACAGTGTCAATAAAATTTCATAAAATTAATGAGCAAAAATTGTATAAGATAATTTGTAATATTAATAAAAAGAAGAGTCCGGGACTTGACAAAATTAGAGCAAAGGACATAAAATATATTGCCAATAACATAACTCCCGTTTTAACGCATTTGATTAACCAGTGCATTACTACAAGTACGTGTCCAGATAAATTAAAAATTGGAATGGTCAGACCAATCCACAAAAAAGGAAGTTACACTGACTTCAATAACTATAGACCTATTACTATATTATCATGTATAGACAAAATCATTGAAAGGTATTATGGCCAAGAAATAAATAGTTTTTTGTCAAGTAACGGAGTCACTCACGAAAAGCAATTTGGTTTTCAAAAAACAAAAGTACTACAAAGTTGCCAACATTGTTTACAGATGAAGTAAACACTTATACCCAGATAAGCCTTTTTTTTTTTTTTTTTTTTTTGGCGGGGGGGGAAATCTTTACCTGAGTCTCCCTGAGCCCAGGGAGACTCAGGGGTTATGTGGGGACTCTCCCTCCACACTGGAAGATACCCAGATAAGCCTACTGTCCTACATATAGGTCGGTAAGATTAAAAAAATATATCTCTCTACCCACTTATATGGTTTTTATTAGTTATAACAATTCGTAACAAGGAATCTTATTAATATTGTAGTAAAAATTAAAAAACGCTAGTTGTATGTTTTTTTCTGAAATATTTCATCTAAAAGTGTACAATAATAGTAAGTTGCAGATATGTCCAAAATATTATAATTCACATTGAGATTTCATTTTACAAAGTTTTTATATAGTATAGAACCTTTTGTTTCCTATCAAAATTATCGATTGATTGATGTTTGGTAAATAGTGGAAATAAATCGTCATAAAAGGGGGTGGTCTAAATATAGGACAGTAGGCTAATACGGAAAATAATTTCTTTGCAGACCATTAAAAGCGCATGAGATATTAGATGCTTTAGAAAACATCGATGATGATGATGAAGATTACAGAGACAGGGAAATATATATTCTACCACCCCCCGTTGATCCCGACTGATGAAGATTCGGGGGAAGAGGATAATGTGACGCTAAATAACTTGCCCAGAAACATATTACTTCAGCCTGCAGAAGTGTTCGAGGCGAAAAGCATATTTGTGATACTGTGCAAGAACCTGTTGTAAGTCAGACTAAGCGCAGGAGGACTTACGTATGGAGAAAGCAAGATCTAAAAACATGTGCGCTGGAGTGGCCCCAGGTTCAAGGTGCTTTCCAAGATAAACGTCCTATTGAGTGGTTCGGAAACTTTATAGATGAAGATGTGATTTCCTTGTTGGTATCAGAGAGTAACATGTACGCCGTCAAAAAGAATACGCCAGGGGATATAACCGCTAATGAAATGAAATGTTTTATTGGCATTTTGTTGGTCAGCGGTTACGCATGGCTCCCGCGACGAAGTATGTATTGGGAAAACTCTCCTGATACAAAAAATGAGTTGATCGGCTCAGCTATGACTAGGGATAGATTCGATTTTATTTTTCGCCACCTACATGTAAATGATAACCTCGATCTGCAAGACAAATACACAAAAATACGCCCACTTATAACAATGCTGAATAAAAAGTTTTTGGAATTCTCTCCTCTCGATGAACACTACAGCGTAGATGAAGCTATGATCCCTTATTATGGCAGACATAGTTGCAAGCAGCATATCAAGGGAAAGCCGATCCGTTACGGGTTCAAGTCATGGGTTGGAGCTACACGGCTAGGATACGTGTTGTGGTTAGAGCCATATCAAGGTGCCACAACTATGTGTGACCCAAAATATAAAGAATTAGGCTTGGGTGCTAGCGTAGTACTGACATTTTGTGACGTTTTGATTTCACGTGGATTTGATCTTCCTTACCACATTGTTTTTGATAATTTCTTCACTGGAACGCCATTGTTAGAGGAGATAACTAAAAAGGGTTTGCGTTGTACTGGTACGATTCGAGAAAACAGGACGTCTAACTGTCCCCTTGTTTCTTCGAAGACATTGAAGAAAAAGGAACGAGGTGTTTTAGATTACAGGACCACCCATGACAACAAGTTCATTATCGCTAAATGGCATGATAACAACATATTCAGTATTGCTTCCAACGCTGTCGGAATACATCCCATGCAATCTGCAAGACGGTTCTCGCAAAGAGAAAAGAAGAACATTGTCATAGAGGAACCACATATTGTTGCTATTTATAACAAACATATGGGAGGAGTTGATCGGTCTGATGAAAACATTTCTCATTATAGAGTTGGCGTAAGAGGCAAGAAATGGTACATGCCATTACTAACACACATGATCGATCTTGCCGAACACAACGCATGGCAATTATATAAAACAACTCACGGAAAACTCGATCATCTAGGTTTTCGCAGGAGGGTGGCAACAGCTTTGATCGAATCAAACAGAAAAACCGGAAAACGAGGGCCAAGTCGACCCTCTCAACACGAGCATGCTGACAGTAGAAAAGACCAAACTAATCACTTAGTCATTCCACAAGCAAAACAAACTCGCTGCCGGCAATGCCATAAAAAAACATTGACCCGGTGCAAAAAATGTGATGTTGGAGTATGTGTCAAATGTTTTGAAAATTATCATTCTTAACAAAAAAACAAGTTCATTTATAATATCGACCGATTCACTCAATAAATACGTACAATAAAATAAGTTTTATAATTGTCAATATAATGCCTATTCTACTACCTATTATCCTACTGTCCTATATATAGGACGTGTCTTTCCCTGAAAGCCATGCACTGAAAATTTTTTTCAGGATTTTTTAAATATATTTTAAGACATATTTTACTAAATAAATGCAAGTTATGTAATGTATGTCATGAAAAATAGTTTCAGGCTTATCTGGGTTAAATAACAGACAACAAGTATTAGCAGTAATGATCGACTTTAGCAAGGCCTTTGATACTTTAAATTTTGAAACACTATATAGAAAAATGGAGCAAAATGGCATACAGGATCTACTATTGGAGTGGTTTAAGAACTACCACAAACAGAGGTAGAGCACTGTCAGCATAGCTAGGGAGCACAGCAACCTAAAACCCACTCCCCATGGATGTGCTCAAGGATCGATACTGGGCCCAACCGAATATCTGCTGTATGTAAATGACATGTGTAATATATTCCAATACGGCTCTGTTTACCAATTTCCTGATGATACATGTATAATTGTACAGCGCACAAAGATATAGAGGTTGCGCAACATATGATGCAAATGGAATTTAATACATTGTGTAGGTGGGCACATGATGTGGGTTTATCCATAAATTACACCAAAACAAAAGTAATGCATATTCATTCACTACACTTAAAAGTTAATATAAGCCCTCGAGTTGTGGCGCATGATCACCAATGTATGCACTCTCAAAACACTCACTGTTGCTGTGAGCCTCTTGATATTGTTAAAGACCACACGTACCTAGGCATAAAAATTAATCAAAGGTTTTGGTGGGGCCCCCATGTAGACCACGTAGGTAATAGACTGAGAGCCATTTTGGCAAATATTAGTATTATCAAATGTAAGATGCCTTCATACATCGTAGATACAACACATTAAGACTGTTATATTTGTCAATGGCTGACTGGGTAATAAGCTATGGTCTAGCTAGTTATGGCAGAACGTACAAAACATATTTAAAAAAAAAATATATGACTTAGGTACAAATAAGACTGCTAAAGAAAACTGTACCCTTGAAAGTGAAATGCAAATATAAAGATAATTATGCTAAATTATTCCAATACTGTAAAGTTTTAAATGTTTATGATAAAGTAAATTTAGCAATTGTATCTGAGTACCAAGAAAAAGTTCTATTTTTGGAGAAGGAAAAAAGACTATCAAGACTAAGAATATTGCATAGCAATCATACATTTTAACTTCCAAATTATAACAATGTATATGGTAGGAGAATATGGTCGTTTGTACTTCCAGATGTGTTAAACAGGGTACGAAAGAAGTTAGCACAAATATTAGAATCAGCAAATAAAAGGATCTGTACCAGATTGATTAGACGACATTTAGCTAGGGAGAAATATTATATAAGAACTGTGTAAGTAAATATACTAGACTTTGAAATAAGTAATAATGTTAAGATGTAACTGTGGTTGAAAGTTACTAAGGTGCATAATTTTAGAATATAAAAATTTTAGCTTTAGTAAAGTGAAATAACTTTTGTAATTTTTCGAAATAAACAGTTTAAATTTTAATTTTTTTTTAGGTATTTATAACTAACTTCGCAGAAAAGGTTAACATACACAAAATCACAAGAAAAACAGTTGGTGTGTTATACCGACGCAGACTGAGCATACGACAAGGAAGACAGAAAAGGCGTAAGTGGTTACGCCCTTTTCCACAATAGTAACTAGTACTAGCATATTCTCTAATCTTGGGTACAGATACCTACGTGTCCATGACCAAAGCACTTTAAAAATGATTGAGTGCAAGGAAAACAGCAAAAGAACCACGATCATAGATATTAAATACCATTTTATTAAAGATTGTTTAAGAACTTGTTTATAATGAGTTATGTTGTTATATTCACAAAGCCATTACATTATCGTTAAACATAATAATTTCTTAGAAAAACTTAAAGTAATGTAATAGATATTTAATATTTGTTATACCTGTTTGACATTGAAATGCCAATTGTATAAGTTACCGTTCTATAAAGATGTGTGAAGTTTTATAAATCAATTTTATTGTTGTAGCTCCAATACTTTGTATGTGCAATCTTAACTTAAGGAAGTTAACATTGAAAGGGGGTGTTGAGGTTTTATTAGGTATTTACGAAAAAGAATAAAACCAATGTAACATGTTATGTCACACACAGAGTGACTATTTTTTCTTTTTGCTGAAATGGTTAGCACGCGACATGCCATCCGAAGAATATTATATTGCTTTAAACTGTTCCTCTTGTTGTTATTTCTAACATTTGAGCACATAATATTATAACAAACATCGGACTAAGAGAACAACGTTGACAATAACGTGATAGCTGCCATCGATTGGCCTTTTTAAATATTATTACAATCACATCGCGGGTTTACTTATATCATATATTGATCAGGGTTACAAATAGAATTAAGCATCCAAATAAGCGAAGTTACGAGTGCGAAATTTCTTTAGAGATTGGGTATCTGTACTAGTATAGTATCTGTGGTTTTACAGCTTAAAACTTTGAAATTTGTAACTCCAAACGAATGTAATTATTTTGATTGCATTTTTAATAGTTTCATCTCATTCACATTAATCGAGACGCTCGCTGGAGGAACTTACTACGGTAAGGACCTCCACTGGGTGAGGGGCTGTTGAGAGCGCTCTGTCGCGCGTGACCAAGGTGTACCCATCCGTGTACGTTGCTCATCTTCCGTCCCCCGCAGGAACTATCTCACCTATCCATCTCCAGTGTTGGGGAGTAACTGCTGCGCGTGACCAAGGTGTGCCCAGGCCATGCAAACTGCCCTCCCATCAAACCCGTGAGCTTACCCTTTAGCCCGCCGCCGTCAATAGGTTAGTTAGAGTAGTAATCCCGGATGGTTAATGAAGTTCTAGTTTAAAATTAAGGGTGCAAGTATCTTGTAGAAATGATTAATAAACGCTGATTGTTAAAACTTAAGCATTGGTTTCCTTTGTTAGTTATAAAACCTTGGATAATTCCTATAGGTAGTGTACTTATCCCGGTAGCCTCACAGGTAAACGCTACGTTACATGATGTCCGGGAAGAGGCCAGAACCGAGCACTATCGTTTACCTTACAAAGGTCAATGGACTCCACATATTATTATTCCTACTTTTCTATAATTGATGTGAATTTACATTTTTGTAATTTTTTTATTTCTCATTTTATCTGTTTATAGGATATACGCATATTTTTCAATAGGGTTGGTGTAAATAAAACATAACATTTCGTATACAATTTTGCATAATATATTGTTCGTAACAAATAATATATTAAGGAGCACTAAGATCACCGCAATTCTGCTGTAAATATATCCAGTAGAAACGATTTGTACTTTTCTACATCGAAACTATAAGCTACTCTGACATTTGCGTATTCTTCTTTAACAAAATTATTTGTGTTTATTCCCCGTTTATTTCCTGGAATACGATACAAATTAGATATACACTAAAACAGGATTATGAAACAAAATATCAACCAAAATATTTGGAAATATTCTCTTCTTTGTTCCAACTATAGGTATTTTTTGTTACTACAAAAGTATGTACAAGTTATCGGATGTCAGAGCATGGCCTATGCCATCACAGTATTTTAATTTATTGTTAACAGGTACTTACAAAACAGCTATGTTAACAAAGAGTATAGTTGGGATGGCACTAAAAATATATAACAAACTATTGGAAAACATGAAATCGTTACCACTAGCATTATTCACAAAGAAACTGACATCGCTATTAACTGATAAATATTATTAATGATTATCTACATGACAACTCACAATTATTGAATTCAATCACATTTTATATTACTTTTTTAATATTTTTAACTCACATCTGACACGAATTGTATTTTTTGATAGAAATTTATTTTGGTATTTAACGGAATTACTATTATTTTAATATTTCTATGCCGCTTGTTGGAAAAATGTACTGAACTTTTTTAAATTTTGTAACATCTGCTTTTATTGTACCATATTTACAAGAAATAAATGATATTCTATTCTATTCTATTATGTTTTTTAAATTCCGAGAAAATTTGCTTTCCAATACATAATATGGACTGGACGTCGTTTTCATAACCCGTCATATACTAATGCCCTGCATAAAAGAGCTGTATCAGCATTCATCATTACATTGAATAAACGGCACATAGACGTTACAATAAAAGACTGAGATTCTATAATAATATGTCCTTTGAAACTGTATCATAGAAAAATGGAAAAACTTACCACATAAAATAATATCATTCTTCGAAAACTTGTACTCGGTTACAAAATCAGGTTCTTTCCCGTTCTTCAAAGGTACATTACTTAATGCTATCGCTACAACAGCCGGGTCGAGCAGATTCCACGATTTAGTTTTAGGTAAAGATATCCTTTCATATGAATTAATAGCTTTTATTGAATCCGTGTTTATTTTCCCAAGCTTATTTTTCCGCCAATCCTTAAATCGTAAGCAGAAATAGGTTTCAAAGAGTTGAATCAGAATTTACAAATATCGAAATCAGGAGAGTAAAAAAAAGATTGAAAGATAAAGAAATGGGTAAAAAATAATTAAAGAAAGTGAGTGACAGTCTTAGGTGTGTATAGAAAATGAATGATCTTGAAGTAGAAGACACATGGCATGTTCTAAAACAAGGAATCGTTGAAAGTGCGAAAGAAAGGTGCAATATAAGAGAAGAAGAATGCGTGGTTGGATGCAGAAAACTGAAGAGAGGTATGAGATAATTAAAAATAATATGAATATGTAAATGGAGAATAAAAAAGTCAAAGGACAGAATAGTGTGAAAAGAAATTTGACAACAAATTACGAGATAATAAAAACTATTCTGGAAATGTGTACGGAAAGAAAGGGGAATATGTGTGGCAAGGGATGAAAGCGGTACCTTGATAATGGGTGAGAAGAGCGTTCCAAGACGATGAAAGGATTATTTTGAGTATCTGTTTGTGAGTGATAACCACATTAATTGTCTCAGGTAGTTGACACAAATGTTGACGAGTTAAGCAATGGATGAGATTGTAAAAGCGATGAAAGGAATGAAAAATGGCAATTCGGCAGGGTATTCCGGTTTAAAAATGTTGGGCAAAGAACAAGGTGCCCGTAGAGCTGTAATCATGCCTTTATACAAAGGGAGAGGATCACACCAGGAAGCCAAAAATTACGGCTATTTATTATTATTATATTGACTTACCAGATCTATGTCCAAATAATCAAGCACCTGTGAGAAAGGAACAACTGTAACTTTATCAGGAGTTGCGTATTGAGCTAATATACGGTACGCTTCAACGTCTATGCGTGCATTGAATTCGGGTTTTGGATAACGTTCACCTAAAATTTAGAAATAATGCTATAGTTAACGTTTAAATTAAGTATAAAAAATTCTAATGATCGCGTTTCTACAAATTTTTCTCTTGATTATGACTTCGAGATGGAAATTGCTGCCCCGAAACAGAACTGAGTAAAACTGTCGCAACTAGACCTTTCTTGTATGGTGTCATACAGATTTAGTCTTCCTAACTCTTTACAGAGAAGTCGACTGTTAGTTAACGTTGGCTCGCAAAATATAATCTTAACAACTTTCGATTTGTATAGGCATAGCGTTCAAATTCGATCGTTTTGTTCGTTAATGATGACTCACGTGACAAATATCGATGAAAGTAAAAACTTTACGGTATTTCTTATTCCTGAATTATTCTTTATTTATGCAGTTATCTAAGTTATTTATTTTCGTGTACAAACACATTCCACGCAATATTTCCTTTTTTTATTTTTATTTATTTTTATTTTTATTTTTATTTTATTTCTATTTTATTATATAACTTGACGCTATTGTTTAAAGTACACTTACTTTCGATGTGTCCCGCACCAACATACACATGTGTAAATCGTTGCAAAAACTTAGGATCCAACTTCACAGCCAAAGCTATATTTGTGAGGGATCCGATAACAATCAGAATCAATTTTCCTGAAAGATTGATCAATTAAATTGCATATACAGTTAAAAACAGTCTATAAAAACAAGGGAAAAAATAGCACAGTGCTACCAAGTAGTCTTTGGCAATGAACAAACTTAGGCTTCCTTCAGCAACACATTCACAATCATCATTTCTTTATTTTTGTACATAAATAATAGATAAATCACTAACGTGACTGTGTGACCACATTATTTTGTAACTGACAAGAAAATCTTGTCAGTTACGAAATAATGGATTCCAGAATTCGGTTTAAAATAAACAAACTAAATTTCAGCCATCAAAATAATCATGCAATAACACCTTCATGCTTTTTAGACAATTCTAAAAGAGTTTCGACAGCGCCCTGCTTCTGCGCTGGTACCAGTCCTGTTAATGTCTCGTTATTGTCTCCCAATCCATTTTGGCCGAAGAAATAATCCCTTTCAGATTCTTTATCGATTAGTGAAGAATTTGATCCTCTGTATATTGGTACCTGAACAGAAAAAAGTAAGATCTCCTGAAAGTCAACCTCTGTGCCCTGGTGTGTAAAGTTAAGGACGTCACAAATATATCTAAAAAAAGCGTTCATGGACCAGTAGAGCTTTTTGTGAAGGAATTTTCTTTTGGTTATTTTCTGTTTATAATGCAAACAGCCTTATTTATTTCCTAATATTATGCTACCCGAATTTTGCGAAGAAAAGAAACAAAAAAACAAAATTCGAAAAAGAAACAAAAAATACCGAACTTTGTGAAGAAAAAAAAACAAAATAAAAACCGTAAATGACCATAATTTTAGTTGGCGTAAATAGTGTCAAGTTCTGCCACGTTACCTATTTCTGCCGCCAAGAAGTAATGTGAGCATTGCTGTGTTCTGATTTGATATGGTAAGGGTGCTGGTGAAATTACAGGCACATGCGACGTGTCAACTTATGTCTCAAGGTGACGGCTGCAGTGGCAGTGCCCCTAAGATCTTTGCTATATAAAGCTCTGAGTGGCATTACAACTGTTGTGAATAGGTGTGTCGCTTACCACAGACGCACACTAGCCCGTCCCGTCACTTGGTGTTATAAAAAAGCAAAGAAGTAAATTATTAGCACTTCTTCGTGCGATTAAATGACCTTCCAACCCGCGCGCATACTTTTCGTTATTATTTACGCTAGAAGCGTAGTGACATATAGTCTAACTGCCTCGGTGGCCGAACGGTTACCATGCCGGACTGCCACGCAGAGGTCCCATGTTCGATTCCCAGGCCGGGACAAATATTTGTATGGCTTACATTTACTTCTCTCGTGAGTTTGGGTGTAATTTGTAGTTGTCTATGTGTGTGTCCATGGCACCTGCGACACAGGGTTACCCTAGTGCGGGGCTATGTTGTGTGTGTGCGTTATTATTATATTATATTATATTATTATAGTGACAATATTGCATAAAACAGTTTTCGAAAAAAAAAAGTTTTTTTTTTTGAAAACGAAATCTTCGAATGATACCCACGTCAAGAAAAAATTTGGATGGCGACAAAAAGTAATCTTCGTCGTATCATTTCAGGCAAACTGCAGCTCAGCATAAACAATATTCATACTTACCAATAGACGTAAGGAACGTAACAACAGATTTTAATTTCGTGAATTTAGGGGAATATTCAAGGTAAAAGCTTAATATTAATAAGCAGTAATAAGTAATTCCTTACTTTTAACAATTACTAGAAAATCCACGGTACAATATACAGTTACCACAAAACAAAAAGGTTGAGGAGTATTAGCACATTTTTGGAAATGGTAAAACAACGAGTGTTAGGTAGTACATTGGTAGATATCCTGTGGTATCTCCAAGAAGAAACTCTCATCATACCAGCTCCGTTTATCACATTTTAATATTATGTCATTTGATAATCGAAGAACTCTCTTGGATGTGTCATTTGTATCAAAAATGTTTCATCACGAAATGGAGTGTTCTCACTTCCTTCAAAAATTCAAATTGCGTGTTCCCGTAACAATATTAATCCATTTAGTGTTACATTTCGTAAAATCTTACCGGGCCAAATTCACCAATGTTATGTAGGACGGTAAATAATTACAGTGACATTATTAACATTCACCACGACTCTCCTCTCAAGACTCGTAAAAAAAATTTTATTTACTAAGTTCCATTGACTTACAAATAAATGGACGACGGGTCTAATACAAAAACCACGAAAAAAATGTCCCAAGTCAACCTATTCGAAATTTAAATTGTAATGTCATCGCAGTATCGCGCTGTCAGTCGAACAAACGAAGACTAAAGCGTTAATGACGCTCTGTATACGATTTTAACGCCCTATAAGTTCGGACACTTTTTAGCGCGGACCCGACGTCCATATAATTGTAAGTCAATGCTAAGTTCAGTCAAATAATTCAATCGTAAAAGTAGTGTACGCATCAATTTCTAATCATATTATTTGACAAAAGTGAAAATTTTAGTTAAACACAGTAACGTTTTAGTATATTTTGTTTCCCTGTAAATTTTTGTGGCAATTATATTATTTGTAAAGGTATGATAAGATATATAAGTACCTAATATTGTACACAGATGTTTGTAAACCTAATAAATAAATAAAATATTAAAAGAGCCTAATGATGAGACATTTGATTGTCGATTGAAAGACCTTTTGTTGGATAAAGATCTGTTCAGACATAACTAAGCGTTATTCCCTACCGTTGTGTGGGTAGCGAAAAATACCGCGCGGTATCCCGCCGAGTATTTGTATGAAGTTTCGCGTGCAAAACGAGACCTGGAAATCCAGGTATCCCTCCGCACACTCCGCAAAGCAGGTAGTGACGATTAGTTGACATAAAATGTAATAAATTCGCTACCCACAGCGACAGCGAATAACGATATTCTATGATATTTCACATAATTATTATATTAATTGATTATGTTAAAATTACGATTATATATATATTTTTAAATTTATCAATTTAAAACTATTATAATCTGTAACGATCCTTGATAGATTACACGCAATGCAATGATGTAAAATTTAAAATATGACTTACTTAGTCAGTTGTTACTTACATCTTGTCTTCTAGCGGCTCTCAGAATTTTCTGGTTGTTAATATTCACGTTTTCTTCTATTGTATTACCGTTTACTGTTGTCAAAGCGATTACTTGTGGTCTGAAATATTGAAAAAAATAATTACCACCATTTACAAGTTTCTTACCGTGAAAAGATAGAAGATGAAGGAAGTGAAATATCGACCATAACTTTAACAAAACAACCTTTGTTGTTAGTATAACATGATTTGATTCCGTAGGTACTGAAGTCATAGGCATTTGCATAGCACTAACTATGAAGCATTTAGATTGTGAACTGACACCGCTCCTACAAATAATTTATTGCTATTTTCAAAAAGAAACACACAAAACAAATTAAATATCTCATATAAATATAAAACATATATATACGGGTTTTTTTATCACTAGCCAAATTTTTCAATGAAAATAAAATTTATGTGTGTTTTGATATGACCTCACAAAAAAATGTATTTTAGCAGCGCTAGTCAATGCACCATTAGTAAAAAGTCATATGAAAAATGTGATTCCTATCGAAATAGGACAACAGCATAACGAAATATCTTTTCAAATATTTTACTTAAAGCTGGTAGAATGGAAGTAGGTCTATAGTTACTAAGATCAGGAAAGTTGATCCTAGTAACTATAGACCTACTAGTATAGCCAGTATAACCCAGTATAAGCCAGTTTTGAACAAAATAATTAGTCACCTTACTGCATTTCATCAAATCAGAAAAAATACTTCGGCAACGTACATATTGAATGCAACGGGTAAATGTGGGGAATTTAGATTAAATATTAAGTCTATAACTTTAGTCGACATATCATAGAGACCTTCAGATTTTTAAAATGTATTGATTTAAAAACTTTGATGATATCTTGCGGATTAATATGATGAAAACTAAGTACAAAACATCGACATTATTCTTTGCAAGATCGATAGTTAGAGAACGGGGGGAAATTAATGATTCTCTAGTGTTCACAGCGATATTCGAAAAGCTTGGGTTACTTTATCTTTAGATTTTATAATTTTGTTGTCTAATTCTAGTACTATATCATGTTATTTAACCCTGCCTGTTCATTGTTTGTAAGTAACAAGTGTACACACTCAATTATAAAGTAACGCAATTGGAAATGTTTAGAAAGCTGAATAAATAAACGTAACATAATATCTTTACATATATGTATAAGTTTTGTCATTATTGGGAGAAGGCAAATAGCACATCGACACATCGACAAACTCGTATCTTATAAAGGGTGAGACTGAACAATGCAAGAATTTACTCATTTTAATTTACACAAATTAAAAGTATGTCCAAATACATTGAAAAATAGACTGGTATAGAAATAAACGATCTCCCGACAATGCTACCAATAACAAATAACCGGTAACAAGTGCAACTCTAAGCGGTGATTTATGCTGCATTAATTTACTATGATTACGTACGTTACCTTGGGGCCGGATTAAGAGTTACGAAACTGTATAATTTGAGTACTTAACGCATGTTGTAAAAAAAAGTGCTTACTTAATTTAGCTATGTTTATTTTAGTTAGTCTTATCTTATGACGCAGACAATATGAGTTTGATTCCTAGCAGGGTCATTTAGAAAACTTAACTTAAGTGGTTGTAGCTTATGACAACGATTAGTTTAGAAATAATATTATCTGCCGAAGATTCTAAGGAGGGGCATTTGTTCGGTAAGCGTTTAAAATAGGGTCGTCAAACACGGAATTTAGGGCTGTTAATGACTCTCGAAGTAATATAAAATAAAATACCCACATATTAATCATTATTCACTAATGATTGATCAAAGAAAGAGATTAATCAAAGAAAGCGACTGATGAGGTGCTGATCGACAACGGAGGTCAACGACCAATTAAAAGTACAAAGGTTTTACTCTGAGTATCTTCCAGTACTTGCCTCCAAACAGCTGTTGTTTTTATGATGTAAGGTTGACAACACATACTTTTCAAGCATGCGTAAAGCGTCTCAAGAACCTTGAGATACTGAATTTTTCTGTTTTGTGATATCCGGTGTGGATACAGGTGTTTCACAAATAGTACTGAGGGTCTAGCCAACGTGTCTTTTTGTTAGCGATATCGCCAATGGAATAGAAAGACAATGTATGGGATTGACATAAGCGTACGAAATGTCACGTGATGTAGCGTAATGAACGATAAATTCCATCAAACGGAACGTCCAACTCGTACGACAACTCCCATAGCCGCTCACGCGATACATGCAGCCGTAGACGCATACCACGGCCAGAGGTGCCGGTGATGATTTTATACCGATTTATCGGATATCGAAGTTATAAGAGGTAAAAAAACTAATATTAATTGCTATTTCGGTAACTACTCTAGCAAACCATAAAGTTTTTAATGCCTGGGTCTGTCATTTAAAAAAATAAACAATTTCAAAAATACGTCACGACAATCGTGTGTTATTGTTTGGGCTTGTGATTTCGGTGTTTATTTATTGAAAACATACCGTAAGTAGCGTTTTTTAAGTTTACCCTGAATATAAATGTTTATAAACTATACTTTAAGCAGTAATTTCATGGTAAACGTTAGAACTACTCAAACGGAATATTATTATATTTATCCAAGTACACCAAAAATTTCATTAGTGCTTATTAAGTGCAGGATTTCCGGTGTATTACTGCATTTTATTTGAGATGTTTTTGTTGGTAGTACGGAGGGTATTTATTTAGCAATGCAGAATAATAATTTTTATTTATAAAAACTTGTATTTAAACTGAATCCTTTTCTATTTTGCGAAACCAAATAGCTGCCATTTTGCGGTAGGAGGAGCGCTTCGCGTGAGCGGATGTAAACCGTAGCCAAAGTGACCTGGGGGCCCCGGTTGGGGTCCCCGCTTGGGCGCCCCGGTTGGGTTCCCCGGTTGGGGTACCGCTTGGGGGCCCCGGTTGGGGTCCCCGGTTGGGGTCCCCGCTTGGGGGCCCCGGTTGGGGTCCACGCTTCGGGGCCCCGGTTGGGGTCCCCGCTTGGGGGCCCGGTTGGGGCCCCAACCGGGGCCCTAACTGGGGGCCCCAACCCGGCCCCCCAACTGGGGCCTCCAACCGGGGCCTCCAACCGGGCCCCCCAACCAGGCCCCCAACCGGGGCCTCAACCGGGGCCCCGGCCCCGACCGAGGCCCCAACTGGGCCCCCGAACCGGGCCCCCAACCGGGGACCCGAACCGGGGCACCCAAGCGGGGTTCCCAACTGGGGCCCCCCAGCGGGGTTCCCAACCGGGGCCCCTAACCGGCCGGAATTGATTTTAATTGCAAATTTAATTGCAATCAAAATCAATTCCATTGAAATCAATTGCAATTAAAATCAATTGCAATTAAATCAATTGCGACGCGTCGCAATTGATTTAGTTGCAATTGATTTCAATTGAATTGATTTTTTAATCTGATTGAATTATTGATTGAAATTTAATTGATTAACGCCCAACACCGTTATTAGGTAAGGAACAAAATTGAACATTTATACATAACTACTTTTTGCATAATCTATACGTTTTGTTGTTAGTCTAAACATTTAGGCCTATAACAAAAACAGCTTTAAGTTTTACAAACTAATTGTCAACTGCCTGCCTCCTATGATTAATTGTTAATTTAAACAATCCTAATTGTTTTAGGTGATTCTGGATACCCACAAAGAGCCTGGCTATTGATGCCTATCTTAAATGCTGCATCAGGGTCACCAGAAGAGAATTACACCAGGCGTCATATCCAGGCCACGAATTGTATTGAATTGAATTGTGGCTTGCTGAAGACATATTGAAGATGTTTACTTAAGCACTGAACACTTCATTAACATCTCCAAGTCACCAGTAAAATAGTAATTGCGTGTGGTGCGCTGCATAACATTGCATTGAATGCCAAATTACCCCCACCAGGTGATATGGCTGCGCAACATGGTGATGAGGATCTACCAGTAGTAGCCAAGATGAGCTAAAGCATGGCAGAGCCAAGCCCAATTCTTTGGTGAATAGATTGTGATGTAGAAATTGAAAAATAATTATAAATATAAAAATATAATATTATTTTTATTATAAATATTATTTATTTCTTAACTTCAAGGCTATTTTGTTATTATTTTACAAATTCACCTTCAATCTTTTAATTTTAAGTGTTCAGGTACAGTAAAAGCACATCAAGCTTGACACTTTGTACTTTGGACCGTTCTTACCGAAAGCGACATTGAGTTAGATTTAAATCTTAAGTGTTAAGCTTGATGTGCTCTTACATACAATATTATACTATTTGTTTTTCTTAAGTAATGATATGGTAAACCATATACAATTTGTTTTTACAAAATACAATAAGTATTCTCTTGGTGATAATACCTATTATAATCAAGTTTCTCATAAATGTATTACCCACTTCATACACCTATTTATTCCCAGTAGATCCATGTACTTAGTTCTACACCTTCCTACTTATAGATATTATTATACAAAGTTAAAAGTGGGTGTGCACAAGCATAACATTTTACTACATCAATTATATGTTATTGGTCAAGAAGTAATTTGCTTGAAGTGAACTTCCTCATTTGACGATGATGGTCTCTGAAAAAGAAAAAGTATTAATATTATCTAAATGGGTTTGCGATAAAGAATTTAGATTTTGTTCGAGATTATAATGTGGTGTTGTAATGATTGCAGAAGTTATGAAAGGGGATGATTTAAAATTGAATAGAAAAAAATTCTTTTTTAAAATGTTTTGTTGTAAGACTATGATAAACTGGTAATGCCATGGTGACAGAATATGCTGAAGGGACATAATATCTATGTGGTACTAACATTGACTAAATTTTAACTGCCTGTGTGGCCAAACGGTTACCATGCCGGCCTGACACGCATAGGTCCAAGGTTCGGTTCCTGGGCCGAGAAAAATATTTGAAAGGCCTACATTTGTTTTTTTTCAAGAGTTTGGGTGTAATTTGTTGTTGTCTATGTGTGTGTCCTTGGCACTCGCGACATCGGGTTTCCCTAGTGCGGGGCTATGTTGAGTGTGTGCATTATTATATTTATATTGTATTCTATACATATTAATATTTGCTCCTGGATACTAGCTTGACCTACTCCTGCTGACACCCCTAAAATCGTAACCACCCCCTGTACCAAAGCAGTTAAAATTTGTTGGCTGTCTGGGCCATCACCAGTACCCTCAGCATGTCGCCGTTCATGGTAGTGATAAAACCCATTCATGATATATAAATGTAAAATCAAAGAGGTTTGCTAGCTTACTTTGTCCCATTTATAGGATGACTTTTCGACACCGCCACGCATAGATCGCCACAGTCGATCACTTCTCAGGCGACCTTGAGCTTCCGACTGGGGCTTCAAGAGGTTGCCGTGCCTGTAACAT